CATCTAAGAGGCTTGGTAATTCTCTTTGGAAAATGTGCTCCTACAGTTTCCAAGCATTTACCATTGTGAAGCACATCATCGAAGTAAACAGCGGCCACCACCATTTTTTTCCTCGAATCCCAATTTTGTATACATTTACGGCCTGATCATGTAGATCAACACCGCCCATACCGTGGTTGTAATTTGAAAGTAAATTTGGCTGAGGTATACTTATCTTTTTTGTTCCAGTTTTGACCAACGCTTTACGTATTTCAACGGTTCAACCGTATCAAAATTAGTTCCCATAGTTACGACATTATTGTCATTTCACTTGACAAACAATATTTTATTATTGTGGTCGTATTTGATCTCGAAATATCCTCTTACTTGTTTTTGGAAATATTTTTTTTGGATTCAAAGGACCTTTTTTAGTTCTATTCTCTATCGTTGTTCCTACGGCTTTGAAGTTTTTTTCACGCAACATACGTAGAACTTCATGACTTGTGAAAAAATTGAAAAAATATATAATATGATCGCTTGGGTTATTTATGGTTTTTATTAGATCGAACACAACTCGAGATCCAAGGAGAAGATGTCTTGTATCACTATCAACATTTTTAGCACCACAGTAAGTATCAAATTGGTACAAGTACCCACAGCTACTTGTGAGCATCCAATTTTTAAATCCGAACCTTACGTGCTTTCCTTTGATGAATTGTTTCGCTGAATGATGGCCAAAATATTTTACCATTGAATCGTCAATTGAAAGCTTTTCGTGCATAAAACCCCACATTTGAAACTTTTCGCATAATAGATTCGACAGTGGGCGAGTTTTTGCCATTTTATCAGACTTGTCAATTTCATTATTGTTTGTAAAATGAATGTGGCGTTTTATTTCCAAAAATCTGTTTTTCGAAATGTTATTGCTTACAAGAGGTGATAACGTGTCTTCATCCAATTGCCAGTATATAGATTCCCTTGGCATTGAATGGTAACCAGAGTAAAATAAAATGCCAAAAGAGACTTTTAGATCATCTTCGTCGAATATAAATTTATGCGAATTTTTTTGAGAAGCATCCAAAGAGTTCGATCTATGATCAGTTGTACAACATCTTTATCAAACAGTGTTTCAAATACCTCAACGGGACTTCTACCATCGAAATCCATTTTCATTTTCATCTTATTTTCTATATACATATATAGTAGTCGCATCCATTGTCTAGTTGTATGCTTTCGTTGTTCCAAATAGGGCTTACAGAACGTATTTCGGCACCCATTCTTTGTAGCTGGGCAAGCGGTATTTCATCTTTGCTACCAAGGTTTATGTCGCCAGGCAAGTTTATTTCATTTATGTTATCTTCATCACCTTCCTCTTCGTCAGTATTGACATCGGCATCAGGAGGAATCATAACGATATCGACGTCAACTGCCTCATCATCATCCGCAATGTCAGCTAAAGCCTTTGAAAGTTGTTTATATCTCTTTCCATAAAAACAGGAAGTGGAAATAGCCATCCTAACCAAAAGAAACAATTTTTTATTTCACCTACACATTTTGCCATTGTACCTAAGCGGGTACACAACTTTTAAAAGGCACATACCTCAAATAAGAATAGGTTTTTCAAATGGGTTTTTTTTTTTTTTCTTGTAAAATTGATCTCTTTAGTCTTATCTCACACAACACACAATTTTAAAACTAACTAAAAACTGAGAGATAATAGCTCATCAACAGCAAAATAATGACTAAAGACACAAAATCACACAATATGAAAAAACCGCACAGCAGTTGACGCCACAAAAAGTGTAGTTATGAATTCGAATGTATTTTTTTTTTTTTTTTTTTTTGTTGTTTCTAGGAATAAAACTACGCATATGATCAAAAATYTGTGTGCAAATACTTAGCATTGAGTTMCGCCACATRCCTHAACTTGACTGATTTTCTGTACACAAGCGAGTACAATGGTTGTAAATGGGTTAAGTGCTTTTTGGTATATCGAATCAACACTTCCGCTACTTTTGCACTATTTGTGCACTGTCCTCATGTTAAATATTCGTAAGCAAAACAAAACTATCCAATTAATAAAATACAAAATGATTACAAAGAACATGACAGTTGTGTGTTCAAACAAGCACTAGTTAAATGAGAACTTTATAAGCTTTTGATAAGTTTTTGTTATTTTATTTATTTATTTATTTTTTATGAAAACCATGAAGGCTGTATTCCCAAAACTATTACTCGAATCATCTTGAAATCCGTAATCGGACCTGCCGATATCGAACCACTACAGCATGTAGCTGTAATACGAATTGAACGATTAAAGTGAAGTTCCTGTATTTAACCGCCTTAAATATCTTTAAAAAAAAATTAGCCATAATTCCTTTACTTTTCTGACTCAATGTTATTGCACTTAAAAATGGGTATTTATGAGAAAAATATACAAATTTTAGTATTTTTTTTTTGCCTTGAAACTTTTAGACGTTCTTGTCTGAATGATTATCAACTAAATACTTTTAAGTCTTCAATTTTTGTTGCACAAATAAATACAGAAATGTTTCGGTATAATAATTTTGGTTTTTAGTGCTAATACTAACAAATATGCACACATTTTTTGTCGCATGAATGAAAAATAGAAAAAATAATCTCAGGACTACAATGACATTTATGCTAAGATTTTCGAAAAATCAAACATTTTCAGTTTCTAAGGTTAAAAGTTTTTATTTTGTTAATACATATATGCCAAAACATAGGTATACATAAATGTAGATAGATATGTACATATGTACATACATAAGAATATATATTTATACTTTATTACTGTCTATCAGTCAGTTTGTAGATCACACTCTAGGCTGAAATCGTTTGCAAAGATACATATGTAATTCCATTTGTCGTTGTTTTCAAGAATTAAAATCTTAAAAAAATATAAATTTGTATATGTATATCTTTACGCTTCTATATGCTCGAAAAAATCGAATACATCCCACAATATATCCAAAAGTGAATTCTTCATTGCTATTAGAAAGCGTTTAGTACGCTTTTATGAAGGTTTGTATGAAATTTATGTGTGCGGTGAAATTTTTAAAATAAAAAAAAAATTAATTAATTTGAGAAAAAATTGTATTTGTATATATTTTATGTACCTATATAAAAAAGTACACAAGTTCATCACACTTTATTTTGTTGATTTATGGTATTTGGCAGCACATTTTCTTTGTTGCCGTCTATTGAAAATACTTATATATGTATGTATGTAACATATGTAACATATATACAAGTATACATATTATAATCTATGTATAGACATATATCACAATGCAATTTTCTGTTTGAAGTTTAATGCTTTGTAATCCCTAATGGATTTTTTGTTGAATTTCGTCTTGATCAACGTAGACTCATAAGCGCCCAACTAAAGTCAAATTTACATACATACATATATATGTATGTGTAAGATATATTTATTTAATTGCATAGACTATTCGGATGTTGTTGCCACCCATACGAGCTACCTATACAAATACATATGTACATATACATTGTGACAAAAAAGTACCCGGTAATTGTAAATAAAACGAAAAATATTTAATTATTATTTTGCCGCCTTCAAGGTAATCTCTAAATGTAATAAACTTATACCAGTGGTTTTACAAACTTCGAAACACTTAAGCACTTTTTGGGTTGGACTACAGCGAATTTCGTTTTATCTCTTCAATCGACTAAAAAAGGGTTTCACGTAGCGGCAATTTCAGTTTGTGGAACAAGAAAAAATCACACGGAACCAAATCTGGTGAATACGGTGGTTGTTCGATGGTATTCATTGTACTTTTTACTTAAAATTAACCCTCCTTAACCCATGTCTCATCTGCAGTTATAATGTTCTCCATGATTGTGAGATCGGAATTTGTACGATCAAGCATATCCAAAGAGACCGGTTTACCGTTCTCTTTTTGGAAAAAAAAAAGTATATGCCTTATCGAGCCGAGCTAGAACACGTTTCATACCCAAATTATCCACCAAAATCGGGAAGTCGCAAAAGATACCGAGCTCTCTTGCCTGGCGGTTTTAAAAAACCATATCCTTCACGTTTTGTTAATATTTTCATCAGTTGAAGAGGTCGTCTAGGACGAGACATGTCTTCAACGATCTCTCGACCGAATCCGAAGGCTTTGTGCCACTCGTTGGCTTGTATTTTTGCTAAAACTGAATCACCGTTTTCAACATTCTCAACGATTCTTCACACGAAATTTGGTTAAAAATACAAAATTTGAGACCAATTCTTTGTTCGATATTTTTATCCATTGTGAAAATCGCTACGCAACACTGAAATGTACCGACATAAGCAGCTGTTGTAAACAAACTGGTTGCCAGTCCAACTCGGCAAAATAATTATTATTTTTTTTTTAAACACCATTTATCCGGCGAATTTAATTACAATTTCCAGGTACTTTTTTGTCACAATGTATGTATACTACTAACAATTTGTCGCTATTTCGTTGCTATTTTTAAATTTTTTCTATATTACTCTTTTGTAAAAAAAAAAAACGCGCGCTTTGGCAAAATGTCAACGTCTGCGACGTGCGACATGAACGCAATGGACTTGGCGCTCATCATTACTAAATACTTAAAACCGATTTGCAGTAAATAATATACTAATGCGACGCTATATACCTCCGACTATTGCAACATTTTGCCGAAAAACAAATAAATGTTTGATTTGCATGCATTTTTGTATTTAAATTCTATACAACTACACCAAAACTACCGTTTGACGATATGTGAATCACGTTTGTATCACGTGTGACGCTAATGCACTTTTTTTCTCGAAATCGTTGCCGTTTTTATTGATCAAAGTGAAGCGCTGCCGAGTGGTAACAATTCGTAGGAAGTTGTCTAACAAAAATTTAATTATTTCAGTAACAACTGCTAAATATTAACTGCAATTAATCGCAGCTTAACGCTTTTTCGACAAAATAGCAAGATTATTTACTAATGATTTTATTTTGTTTTTGTTAATCGTTTTACAGATGGCCGAGCTCATGCATCAAATGCGTGATCCTGCGCACACACTTGGCGGCTCTGTGGGCAGCATACCGCAGACCTTTGTCGCCAACGGCTCCAGCAATGACTTGTCCATGCAACGCGCACTCACTGGCAATGGCATACACGCCACACCGGCCACCAATCTCAAGCTCAGCGAAGCCGTACGCAATGCTCAACACGATGCTAGTCCCAATATTATTTCGTCTAAGATGAAATCGTCTAAATCGTATACGCATGGCTTGAGCAACTCAGCGGGCACCGTAAGTACAATTACTTATGTCACTACAAATGCAACGTAAATATCTATAAACACGTATACTAAGAGTAACTTTCCACACACACACACACACACACACACAGGTGCACATTCCGACATCTACCTCCGCGCAGAGTAATCTGTCGTTGCTCGCCGATATCTCACCCAATCATACACACTTCTTCGAAGTCATGTATGTGGGTAAAATACGTGTGTCACACAAGCGCGTGCCCTTCTCATTCATCGATGACGCCCTACCCAAGTTCAAGGCGTACGACGCGCAACGTACACGTCTCATGCAGTTGACCGCCACCGCCACGGCCAGCACAGCAACAACGGTAGCAGCGTCTAATCGCAAACTCTCCTTGAATGTTGAGACCAACAATGTCAACACGCACGCCAATAGTAGTACCGTAACGTTCGATCTGAAAACCGTTTCGCTCAAAGAGAGTGATGCTGAAGAGTCAGCGGCAGAAATGGCTGAGGGCGCGGGCGCAGAAACAGAAGCCGAAACCTCGACGGAGACTGAAACGGAAGCTGAACAGCAGGATACAATGCCAGGCAAGTCGATGAAAGACAGTCTTACAGAGGAAGGCGTTACACAAATCGTTGGAGATGAGCAGAACACATCAAACAAATCGAATAAATTACCAAAACGATTACTGCGCGGCATTAGTCAGACTGAACTTCCTGTGAAAAAAGAGTAAGTGTCCATATGAGTACATATTTTCAAACACATATGTTTTCTACTATGCGTTTATGTGCATATAAGCAAAATTGTATACGCTATGAATCAAAAAAAAAATTAAATTTTTGAAATGGTGTGAGAACTTTAGATTTTTCTGGCGATTACATAAGAGGAGAAGAGATTCAAAGTTGAAATGCAATCTGAACCAGTCGAAAAAATAACAAATTTAATAAAAATTAGGTTAGGTTACATTGCTGGTGCTACAAAGACCCACTCAAGGACAAGTAATGAAGTTTCTAGTGATACTTCCAATAGGCCGCAATGTTTTTAATACTCAGAAGGCAAGGTTGGAGATAATTTTAAATATAAATATAAATGATAAGTGTGACAAGCTTTTCGTCTTTGTTCTTTTATCCGCAAGAAATTGCACATTTTTCAGAATCGCTCCGATATCGCACTACTGTAGCACAATCTCCGAACTCTCCAGAGCGCTACAATCTCCGAACATACTTATCAGATCGGTTCACTATAACATATAGCTGCTGTGCAAACTGACCAATTGAAATCAAGTTAAATATATACATGCATTTCATTTTTATAAGAAGCACGCGCTGATTTTCGTTTTCGTTATATCACAATTCGTTATATGAAGGCTTCACTGTACTTTATATTCAGTGCTCTGTGCTCAGACTGTCAAATTGCATGTTCTTTACTCAATATGTTTTCAGGCAACAATCGAGCCTAACCAGCCAATAGTGCAACATTTTTTAGGCTATAAAAGCGTAAGAGTGAGAATTTTTATTTCTGCTTTCTTAAAGTTGCAAAGCATTTTAATCAAGTTTTTGCACAAAGTGACATCATGCGGTCAGTTTTATTAAAGTCATTATTGGAAATTGGAAATCAGTTGGTCGTTTCATCCTCATTATCTTCAGAAAAGGGGATTCGTAGAAGACGTTCTGAATGCTTACTCAGAGTCAGAAGTACAAAATAGTGTTAAATGATGAGCTTATTTTTATTATAAAAAAATTAAAAAAAAAAAAGAAAAAAAAATATTAATTGTACTAATTAAGGAAACGAAAACAATGCAACAGCTGATTTATAATAGGGTGCCATTTTTTTGGTTCTTTTATCATTTAAAAAATTGAGCAAATTGCAGGGTGTCATGGAACATTTGCACAATGTTACTATATAACGAGACAAAATTTTCATCGAGAAAAGAAAATGCTTTTAGTTGCAATACATCTCTGCGCATAAATTTAATTCCCACAAATATTTCGAATCCGCATTGAGTTTTTATTTACCATTACAAACTTGAGAATTATTGCAGTTCCGGAATGAGAATATTCGAAAAAAAATTAATTTATTTCAAATATTACTAATAAAAAGTTGAAGGTTTCATAAGCATTGTGTCCAATTTAAAACGCGTATTTCTCTTTTTCTTAAACAACAACAATAACAAAAACCGAATAACAGTGCAACCACAGAAGAAGAAAAAGTAGCAGGTCCAAGGACAGATGTGCCACTTGCACCGAATGTTATAATCAATAAACATCCATCACCGCCACGTCAAGCGCAGGAGGTAGAGGCTTCCAAAGAGCAAGCGAAGCAACAAGAAAAAACGATAACAACAACAACCGAATCTGATGAAACTCAACAGCAAGTGCTCAAGATACCACAACAACCAACCTACGCAACGCTCGACACGTGAGTAGGATGTTGTAGCGTTTTCTGGCTTTTCACCAGCGGCATGCATTAGATTGACCGTGTACTTTGAAAAGTTGTAGCTTTTTGTTGCATTCAACTTAAACGCATTTTATTGCTTGTTCAAAGCTCCAAGCTGATTAAAGAAAATGTGCCTTCAGTTTTATGTTTTTGTCATGTGTATTTGCTTAGAAGCGTTGATAGTATTTTATTTTTTTTTTTTTTGTGTTTTAGAAGCTTTTGTCTTGCATGATTCTTTAGTTGCTTGAGTTGAACCCTTAATTTTTGGCAAACCTACAACTTATTTGCACTTATAATAATTATTCACATTCTCTCCCATCCAACAGCGTACCAAAGCAACGCGATCGCTCCGCCTCATACGGTTGTATTCCTCCATTTGTAGAGCAGAACCGCACCATGGTCTTTCTTGTGGGGCGTTCTGATTTACGGCTCATCTCGCCAGATCGCAAACAAGTGTTGCTATACAAGGACTTCAAGGATGTCGCCAGCTGCGCGCAGGGACAAAAGAATCCCGATCATTTTGGCATCATCTGTCGTGAGGTGCATAATGATGGCTACATAGGTTATGTATTTAAATGTCAGTCGGATCATGTGTGCGACGATATAGTGGCGGCCATTTCGCAAGCGTTCGTCACTTGCGCAGAACAAAAGAAAAAGGAAGCCACACAGATCTTCTCGTGTGAACACTGTCCCATGTTATGGTATCACAAACTCTGTAGTGATGTTGAAGGTTTGAGTGAGAAGAAAACACAAGCGATGATATTCCGTCGCATAGAATCGCTTACCGACGATGAGCAGGACATGATTTGGGCCAAGTACTATGGTTCGGAGAAGACAAGCTCACCGCTGTCGGAACAAAATCAATTTTTAATGATGCTCTTACGTGCGCATTGTGAGTCACGTCAGCAAAGGCATGTGCATGACACTGCTGAGAATCGTTCAGAATTCTTGAATCAATACTTGGGCGGTAGTACGATTTTCATGAAAGCCAAACGTTCACTCACCAACTCATTTGATCATCTGTTGAAACGTAAAGCATCCAAGGATGACATTGGTATAGCGCATGATCTGCGCGATCATCAGATACGTGAGAAATCGGCCGAGCCGCATCCGGTTAGTCGCAGTGGCAATGAGACACCACCAGAGGGTTTCCGCTCCCGTTCAAACACAATTGGTAGCGCAAGTCCGAGCAAACCGAATGCGGAGCACTTAAAGAGTCCTATGATGGATATGTAAGCGATATTAATTTATTTAGTTGAAAAATTTGTTATTGATTGATAATGCGATTTTTTTCGTACAGTTTCATTAAAGTTGGCAACAGTCCCAAGGAATCTGAAGCACACAAAGCTTCATGGCGTCACGCTATTTTAAATAGCGTAGTAACACCATCAAAGGGCATGGATGGCGATGCGCAGAATGAATTTATGTCACCAATGAGGATCACAAGTGAGTCATCACGTTTAAAATGCATTTTATTTTATTTAAAATAAATTTCTCCGTAGAACGCATACGCGGCAAACGATCACGTGAGGAGCTCCGCGATCTCTGGAAGACCGCCATACGTCAGACCATACTGTTGAATCGCATGGAAACCGAAAATGCTATGTTGCAGGCGCGTCAAAACGAAAATGAGCTCAAACGCATCAAACTCGACTATGAAGAGATCGTGCCATGCGACAAACAGCTGATCGAGCGTTGGGAGCAGATCATTGAACGTGACTCCATGAAAATCGCCAATAAGAAGGATCCGAAAGTACTGGCACAAGCGATTAAATGTGGTGTGCCACGTTCGAAACGTGGTGACGTTTGGACCTTCCTCGCCGATCAGCATTCCATGAATACAGCACCAGTGGATACAAAGAAATTTCCCAATTTCAATACGCCCTACCATACTTTGCTGAAAAATCTCACCGAACATCAGCATGCCATCTTTATCGATCTGGGACGCACCTTCCCTAATCACAAATTCTACAAAGATCCACTAGGTGTAGGGCAACTGTCGCTATTCAATTTGCTGAAAGCCTACTCCATACTCGATCCAGAGCTGGGCTACTGTCAAGGTTTGGGTTTCATATGCGGCATATTGTTGTTGCATGTAAGTATTTCATTTACCGTTATTTATAACATACTCACAGAATTTATTTTCTTTAGTGCGATGAGGCGGACGCTTTTCAATTGCTCAAACATCTCATGTTTCGCCGTCAGATGCGCACGAAATATTTGCCGGATATGAAGAAATTCCAATTACAGTTGTATCAACTATCACGACTCGTCAAAGATCACTTGCCAGAATTATACATTTGGCTCGATCAGAATGATGTCTCGCCCACTCTGTATGCCGCACCCTGGATTCTAACTGTATTCAGCTCACAATTTCCATTGGGTTTCGTGGCACGTGTTTTCGACTTGCTTTTCCTCGAGTCATCGGAGGTGATTTTCAAATTCGCCATCGCTCTACTGAGTGTGCACAAGGACGAGTTGCTGGCCCGCGACAACTTTGAAGAAATTATGGATTATCTGAAAACGGTTGTACCGAAAATGGAAGCGCATACAATGGAGAAAATAATGAAATTGGTAAGTTTGTGTAAAATTTAGGCAAAGGTTTATCAAATTCTGTGGTGGCCATTTTTTTTTTTGTTGAAGATCCTTATAATAACTGCTATTTTATTATATTTCCAAACATTTCAGGTATTCACTTTGGATGTCAGTAAGCAGCTGACCGAATATAATGTGGAATACAATGTATTACAAGAAGAGATCTCAACAGCAAATCACCACTTGGAGATGTTGAACCGAGAGAAAACACGTAATATGCATCTCGAACAGCAACTGCAGGTGAGACCACTTTCAAATAACAACAAATACGCAATTTGTTAATTCTGCATAAAACTCATTGATAATTCTTTGATTTTCCCTACGCAGTTTGCTCAATCGTCGATCGCACAGTTGGAGAAGACACGCTCCTCTCAGCAAACACAAATCACCTCGCTGCAAACACAAGTACAATCGCTGGAGTTGACCATACAAACGCTCGGTCACTTCGTCACTCAATTGGCCGAACAAAATGTTGAACTCGAATTGCCTGGTGACGTGCGACGCATACTGCAACAACTGGACGATTTGGAGCGTCAACGGCGCCGACCACACTTCACTGAACGCAAAATTGGTAAATCCGTGTCGGTCAATAGTCATTTGGGGTTTCCACTAAAGGTGTTAGAAGAGTTGAACGAAAGAGAAGAACATGGTTCGCCACAAAAGAAGAAGGAGAAGACACCTTTTTTTGAGCACACCTACGAACAATTGCGACAACAACGCTATGCACAACAACAACAGCAACAAAACGCGCAAACATCACCAACAACACAACAGCCACGAAAGTTATTAAATAGCGCTAGCAATTCGCTGGACGACAACCAATACCAAACACAAACGCAACAGCAACAGCAACGGCCAAATCGCCTACTTGACTCGGCAGACATACAAACAAAGCCCACAGAACTGAAGTTGCCCGATCAGTCGGAACAGCCGTTCGATAGCGCCAACATACGCAGCCCACTTGAGGTGGACAGCGGCGTGGGCACACCACTCAGCCCGCCCAGCACGAGCAGCAACAGTAGTAGCAGCGGTCTCAGTACAGGCTCCAGCAGTGGTGGCAGTCTCTTCAGTCGTATGGGTTACAGAAATACACCAGCGGCACTATCACCGTTAAGTAGTCGGCAAACTTTGTATGGCGCCGGCAGTGTGCCAGCAACAACAACGGCTGGTGGCAAAGTCGTGCCAGCTGTCGCGATTATTGCGCCCGCCGAGCAACCACAGATGGGTACAGAAATGCATCCGCTCAGCATGGTTGGTGAGGTGAATGTGCGTTTTAACGGCACAACACAGCTCAAATCGATAAGGCCCGTACATCATATGCGTCCGATGGCCACTGTGGCAGCGGGTGTAGCGGCAGCGGCTGCATCGGCGCTGCAAGAGCAACCAGTGAAGACGGCGGCCAGCGAGATCAGCAGCAGTGAGGCAATAAATAGTGATGCGGCTAATGGTCGCAGCTAACGGTTTTGATTCATAGCGAAAATTTTGCGTAGCTTCTATTAAGGCAACAATACAACACATGAAAGATACAGAAAAAACAAAAATAGACGAAAATAGAAAATAAAGTGAAAACTGCGGTGTTTTTCCAGTTTGAAAGCGGGCTGCAAAATAAAGTGGTTAACGTAATTGACAAATTTTTATAAGAAAATGCTTCTTAAAAATCATAAAAATGCATACCTTCTTGACATCAAAGTTTTGTTGAAAGATAAAGTTAAAATTCTGAGAATATTATTCTAAGTTCGATTTACAGTTTCATATTATCCTAGAAAATTATGAGTTCCCTAGATCTCTAAGCTAATGCAAGCAACGGCTAATGGATGTTATCAGCAATTTTTCCAATAACAATATATTATATATGTATGTATTTCGCTTTCAAACTGAGACTGATCGCAGTTGGAGCAACCAAAAAAATCTTTAAGCTTTATGCGCTTAAAAGAAATCTAACAAAAATTCTACAGTTTCTGAATGAAGAACTGCTTTCAAATGCCGCTAACAGAATTGATAACATTAATAAGAGCACCTACGCCAACACGATCGCTATGCAATATCTCTAAAATTATAAGGTGAAATATGTATTTAGACAAATATATATGTATGTATATGAATGTCAGCGTTGAAATGTATTTAACCGCTAAACCCTTGATGATAATTATAGTGCTAATTATATATTATATCAGTTAATAATTATTTTGCAAAAGTTGTGCTTACAAAGTCAACATTTATTACAAGTACATAGTTAGCGTTATGTTAAATTTATATAATTTTTTTTTCTCTTAATTATTATAATTTTTTTTTTTTGTTTGATTTGTTAATATATGCTAACAAATATATGTAAATTTTGGTCTTAAAGTTATAAATATTCATGAACGTTTATATATTGTTATATTTCGCGTGTTTGAACATATTTTTGAGACTACTCGGAGTCAATCGACCCTGTATGTGTAAGTATAAAAAGTACAGTTTTACTGTTTGAATAAAATTAAGATATAAGTTCC